ACTTTTTCTCGAAAAACCCAATTTTCGAATTAAATTTAGGCCAAAAACGGCAAATTTTTTCAGATTTTCAGCTTAAAAACCCCGATTTTCGACATATTTTTATCTTGAAAATCCTACTTTTCGCCTATTTTTTGGCATATATTCGGAATTTTTGAGGTATTTTTTCCTAAATTTTGGCTTCATTTTTCAAGTTTCCGCCAATTTTTTCCCGAAAAATCCACAAAATATCGATTTTCGTCCCTCGAAAATCTCAATTTACCCTCCCAAAAATCCCAATTTTTCCCTCTGCTCCCTGTTATTTTTTTTTTGTTTTTCTCCTTTTTGTCTCTCAAAAAATTTGAATTTCTTCTCGTCTGCTTATAATTAATTTACCGGTTTAGGATTCCCCCTTTTTTTCTGTTCATTTTTTTTAATTACGAAAAAATATTTTCAAAAATCGATTTTTTTTTATTTTAGGCTGAAAAATTGTTAAGAAAATTTCAAATGTTTATATTTTTTTTCTTTTTCATGGGTATTTTTTGCTGATTTTTCAGAAAAATTTCCAAATTTTTTCTGGAAAACTGAGCTCAAATTTAGTGTATTTACGAATTTTTTCCAATATTTTCGAAGATTTTCGAAAAAATTTTTTTTGGGTTTTGGACATTTTTTCTGACAAAAAGCGCTATTTTCGACTTCCTATTGAATTTTTTTGAAAAATTTTCGAAAAAAAAAATTACGGTACCCTCCCTTTAATTTTCCTAAATTTATCTCCAAAAAACGCCAAAAACCTTCAGAAACCTCCAAAGAACTGAGGGAAAAATAAACAACATGTTTATCGAAAACACCCTCAGAGCTCATAGACCAAAAAGTGATGCGTTCCCTCTGTTACTCTCTTTCTCTGCCGTCTCTCACTCTGGCAATACTCTCTCGCCACAGTGTAGTGTCTCCCTTGTTGACGATATATAACTAGCCACTTTTCTGCAACTTTTCCCCAGTTTTTTTTTCATTTTGTTTGGCAGTTTTCTTGGTTTGAGTGCCTTGGTGATGAAGCATAGTCAAGATTTTTCTCGAAAAAAATTTTCAAAAAAAAAATTTTTTTTTCTCCTAAAATCCACTAGAAAAGTCAGTTATGATTGCATTTTGCTTGGGAAAATGAGAAAAATAGCGTGTTTTTGTCATTTTTGAGCTGTAAAAATCAGGAAAATGACCAAATAATTTGTTCGTTAGGCTCTGCCCATTGTTTTGTGATTTTGCAGTGTGTATTATTTTTATTTCTAAATCCTAGGCTTGTTCTGCCCGATTCAGCCGAAAAAAAATCCGAGAAAACCTTTTTTTCTGAAAATTTTTATTCCGAAATTTGAAGTTTGCTCGTCTAATCCAGTGCATTTTGTGCAAAAACCGTAGATTTTTTTTCGCCATTTTTTTCTCGAAGATTTTTGCTCCAAGACCTAGTTTTCTTCCAATTTGTGCGTCAAATTTTATTTTTTTGTGTTTTTTGTGTCATCTCACGCGAAATTGCACAGATTTTCTAAATTTGCCGATTTTTCTCGGAAAATCCGAAATTCAGCTGCAACAGGTAGTTTTGAGCTGGAAATCCAAATTCTGCTCCCAAAACTCTCGATTTCTCCCCAATTTTTCGAATTTGCGCGTCAAATCCATTTTTTTGTGTTTGGTGTCATGACCATACGCAAAAGTGCACATATTTTTCAAAAGTGCTCCCTTTTTCTCTGCAAATCACTTTTTTTCGGGAAAAATTGAAATTCCAGCTAATTACATCTATTTTCGAACAAAAAACTCAGATTTAGGCCTACAATTCCGATATCGGGTAAAAAACCTCAAATTTCAGCTCAAAACTCCAAAGTTGATGCACTAAAACCAAAACTTTGTCTGCACATCTTATTTTTCGATCGAAAACATAAGTTTTCAGCTAAAAATCGCTATTTTTGACCAAGAATTCGAAAAAATTCACGTTCAGATTTTCAAAAATGCGCGTCGATTACACATCAATGAGCCCAGACACCCCAAAGCCAGTACGCGAGAACGCTCGGTTTTTTCTCTTGTATTTGTGAGTAGTGCATGTTCTGAAGAATGCCGTTGCGCTCTATTGAGAAGTTTTGAGCCTATGTGTAAAAAATGGCTCAAAAAGTCCGTTCCCAGTAGAGCACAATTGCTTTTTCCCCGATGTTTTTCCCATTTTTGTCCTATTTTTCGCCTTTTTGTGTGTCTGCACATTACATTACTGGGTTTTCTGCAATTTTTTTTGAATTTGCGCGTCAAATTTTACTTTTCTGTATTTTGTGTAATCACCTTACGCGAAATTGCACAGATTTTCTAAAATTGCCCGTTAAAGGCTGAAAAACAGTATTTTTGACGTGAAGACACCAACATTTGGCTGAAAAAACCAATTGTTCACCTCCAAATCCCCTAAATTTGCTATTTTTGACCAAAACTTCAATTTTTCCGTCAAATCCGACGCCGAGTACGCAAACACTGTCTCAAATTTCAGTTTTTCCACTAAACATGGCTGTGGATTACACATCAATGAGCCCTGACACTCCAAAGCCAGTGCGCGAGAACGCTCGGTTTTCGCCCTTGTATTTGTGAGTGATTTGAATTTTAGGGAGCTGCAATTGCGCTCTATTGAGAAAATTCGGTAGAAATAAGGGAAAACGTCGGAAAATGATCGAAAATGAGCAGATTTAACTCAAAAATTCAAATTTGTGCGTGACTTTTCAATAGAGCGCAAATGCATTTTTTCCGGGCTTTCCTTTTTTTCCCGTTTATCGTTCATTCCACATTGTCCGTTTTGCAGCTTTTGTCTTCATTTCTTATCCTTTTTTCCCGCCAATTTTCAAAAAAAAAAATTTTTTTTTCGAATTATCGATTTTTTTTGCAGTGAAATGGCATTTCTCGGCTACGGAGCCGCTGCCGCTCTCGGCGGTGCACTCGTCTATGCGAATCTTCCGACCTACCTGACGATCGGAGCCGTGGCTCCAACGTTTGCTCATCTGGCTGCCGCCAGATTGACACCGATCCGTGGATCCACACGCGAAGTGGAGACTGTCGATAAGAAAGAGGAGTTTATGGTGAGAAATGGGGGGAAATTTGAGAAAAAACGGGTGAAAACGGTGTTTTTCACGCAAAAAATTCAAATTTGCGCGTCGTAGGTTTCAATAGAGCGAATTTGCAAACTGAAGTGAAAATTGGCCCGAAATCGCCAGAAAATTTGAGAACCTGGCCCAAATCCTGTGGGGATAGCGGAAAATAGCCTGAAATGACTCCGAATTCAAAGTTGCGCGTCAAAAAATTTCTGTAGAGCGCATTTTCAATCTGCCGTGGGAAATGACTCAAAAATGCCGGAAAGTTGGAGAAATTGGCCCAAAAGTCGCTAAAAAACCGGTTAAAACGCTCCGAAACACTCATTTTTTATTCAAAGTTTCGAATTCGCGCGTCACGAGTCTCAATAGAGCGTAGTTGCTGTTTTACACAGAAATTGACCAAAAACGACCCGAAAGTGTTAAAAATCTGGTAAATCAGCTCAAAAACACCCTCAAATCAACATTTTAACTCAAATTTTGAATTTGCGCGTAATAATTTTCAGTGGAGCGCATTTGCATTGCATACCCGAAATTGGCCCAAAATGACTCAAAAATTATTGAAAAACGCCAAAATCAGTCAAAAATGTCTCTTATTGCCTCAAAGTTCACAAATTACATTAAAAATTCAAATTTTCGCGTCAAAAAATTTGCAATAGAGCGCATTTGCTTCATTCACACCGTAAAACTCTGAAAATGACTTAAAACTCACTTGAAAACCCCTATTCTCACTCTAAATTCAAATTCCCTCCAATCCATTCTCAATAGAGCGCATTTTCCAGGCCTCCGAACTCTTCAAAAAGGGCCCAATCATGGTGATGGCCGTCCGTCGTCCCGGATGTATGCTTTGCCGTCGTGAGGCCGCCGAGCTGCACAAGCTTTTGCCGTTGTTGAAGGAGAAAGGAATCGAGTTGGTAAGTGCGCTCCACCGAACATTTTTTTTTGATTTGGCGGGAATTCAAAAATTTTCAAAAAAAAATTTTTTTTTTGAATTTTTTGAATCCCCGCCCGATCGTCAAAAATCCTAGGCCACGTATTTTCTCTTCCAGGCGGCCGTTGTTCACGAATCGCGTGGCGCCAACGAGTTCAAATCGTACTTTTCGGGTGGCGACGTCTATCTGGACGCCGATCGTACCTTCTACGGTCCCAACCAGCGTTGGCTCCCACACTGGATCGGATTCCTTCGCTTCGGGACCTACGCCAACGTCTACAATGCGAAGAAGGCGAAAATCGAGGGAAATATGGAGGGAGAGGGCCGTTTGTTGGGAGGTAAGGGGTGGCCTAGTTTTTTCTAGGCCATGAGGTCTAAAAAGCCGGAGTTTCTAGGCCATTCTGGACCAAGATGGCCTAGAAATCCAATACTGAAGTTTCTAGGCCACGACCTTTTTTGGTGGCCTAGAAATCCAAATTGGAGAATTCTAGGCCACCAGACTTTTGGGTGGCCTAGAAATCCAAATTGGAGGTTTCTAGGCCACCAAACCTGCGGGTGGCCTAGAAATCTCAACTGGAGGTTCCTAGGCCACCTGAGTATCGAGTAGCCTAGAAACCCGAATTGGAGGTTTCTAAGCCACCAAAATCTTGGGTGGCCTAAAATTCCAAATCGGAGATTTCTAGGCCACAAAAATTTTTCGAAAAAAATTAAGCCCCGCCCATTTTCCAGGCGTCTACCTGATCGCCAACAACGACATCGTCTACACTCATCTGGAGAAGGAGTGGGGAGACGCCGCCAACATTGACGAGGTCCGCGCCGCCATCGAGAAGTTTGGCAATAAGGCGAAATAATTTAATTATCGATTGATTGATCACCTCATTTTTTTGTAAAATGTATGCTCTTTTTTTTGTAAAAACGTACTGAAAAACGAATAAATAACTGAAAAAATCCAGAAAAACCCCTTAGGATATGCTTAGAAAAAAGAAAAAAAGATTTGGCACAGTGGGGAATCGAACCCGGGACCCTCAGATTGAAAGACAAAAGTCTAACCAGTTGAGCCATACGGCACCACGAGAGAATGGGGAGTGGGAGGCGTATAAGAACGGGCGGCGGACCCCTTTGGCCCAGGTTGGCTTTCTATATGGCCTCCGCAATTGCGAAGACGTGGTACCCGGTGGCCAACTGGGTTACGCTTTTGGCTTTCACCCACAAGGTCAGGGGTTCAAACCCCCGGTGGCAAATGTTTTTTACTTTTTTCAGGGAGTCATTTTAGGTGTATAGAATGTATCCTAGAGGTGCCACGGGTTCAATCCCCCGTGTGGTAATTCTTTTTTGTCTTTTTTCTGCAAGTCTTTCCAAGGGTACTGGGGGTCAGCAAAAAAAATCAATACCATTTTTAAAGGCGCATAGGATTAGTGGCCCTGGTGCAGATATTGTGTGGTCTCGTCACGCTATCTCACACTCCATGGTTAGCGGGGTCTACCACCTCAGTTTCATCATGAGGACCCTGCCCTTCTGACCCCCTTTTTTCATCGTTGTTTGCCCCTTGGTCTTGCCCTTTTACCCTCGTTTTTTCCAGATCGATTTCGCAATGTCTACCTCCTCGACCACCACCACTCAACCCACCACCCCAACCGAGAGCATCACGGACAGTATGCTGAAGGATTTGCTCGGGGAGCCCCAGCCAGAGGTCCCGGAGTTCCTAAGACTCTGCCAGGAGCCACCATCAGGCTACTGGGATGCGGCTCTGAGGGCTTGCAATGGCCTTCAGGAGTGTGGGGTGGAGTCGGAGGGTTCTAGGGTCATGGACCCCCAGGCCCGGTTCCCTGGACTCCTGATGGCCGTGCCGGATAGAGCCCCCGGACTCTTGATGATCAAGAATCCGGGTCAGTGGCCGGTGGCTCCGCGCCTCCCGGCTCCAGGGGGCCAAGGGCTCTTGGGGGCTCACAGGCTCCACCTTCAGGCTCCGCCTCCAAAATTTTTCAGGTAAGTCTGAAAAAATCGAAATTTCCGGAGTTTTTTTCGGGGTTTTCAGGGGTTTTTCGTGGGTTTTCGGGATTTTTCCGAGATTTTCCATCGAAAAAAATTGTTTGAAAAAAAATTATTTTAGGAAAAAAAAATTTTCAGATCCCGCCCCTCCAACCCCTCCAACAACCTCCAATCCGAGCTCCAGGTCATGCGAAATGAGCTCCAAGCCTTCCAGCACCAACAAAACCAGAAGATGTTGGACCTGGAAGTCCGCTACTCCTTCTCCAAGGATCAGGAGCTGGAGCAGCTCCGAAAGGAAAAAGAGGCGTGGCTCCAGGAGCGTCAGATGCTTCAGGACCAGAATCAGAGTCTTCTGGAGGCTCTGGAATCAGAGGCTCAGGAGAAGCGGCTCCTGGAGGATAACATCCAGGAATACCGATATGATGCGGATATCGATAATGATATCCGGAAGGAGGTGGAGATGCTGTTGGAGCATAAGGATGCTCAGATCAAAGATCTCCTTGAGACCCTGGAGTCAATGGGGAAAGCACATCGAGAGGAGCTCCAGGAGCTCCAGGACTGTATGGAGGCGGGATCCAAGGAGCAGAAGGCTCTGGAGGCCCAAGTGGAGAACTTGAAAGAAGCACTGAATTTAGAGATTTTGCTCAAAAATGGCTCATTGGCTAAAATAGAGAACCTTAAAGGCATATTGACCGCCAAAACTTTGGATACTAAAAAATCCAAAAAGCAATTTGAAAAAAAAATTTCGACACTTGAAAAAAAGTTGGAGACAGCAAATTCTGAGCTGTCCGATTCGAGAGAAGAACTCCTGGAGCAACTGAATAAGAGAGAGAAAATGAGTCTGGAGCTCGGCGAGTCTTTGGAAAAGACAACGAGATACCTGGAGCAGTTGATTGCATCAAGGGAAGAGAACCAACTTTTGAAGACGCTGACGACGAAGTTGGAGGAGAAATTGGCCGAGGAGCGACGGAAGGAAGATTAATTTTTTTTTGATGAGCAATTTTTTTTAAGAGCAATAAATACTTTTTTTTATCCGAAACACTGTAAAAATACCGCAAAAACACAAGACTAGCAGAAAAAAAATGAATTACCACCCGGGGGATTGAACCTGTGCGCCTTTAAATGGTCTTTTCTGCTACACAGAGCGTCACGGACCCCCAGCACCTCTAGGACACATTCTATACACCTAAAATACTCCTAGGAAAAAAGTAAAAAAGAATTACCGCCAAGGGGATTGAACCCCTGGCCTTGTGGGTGAAAGACAAAAGTGTTACCAGGTAAGCCACCGGGTGCCACGTTTTCCCTGGTGCGGAGGTCGTATAGAAAGCTTCCCTGCGCCAAAGAGGTCCGCCGCCTGATCTCATACGCCTTGCGCACCTTTTCTGCCAGTATGGTGTACGGCTCAACTGGTTACAGTTTTGCCTTTGGATCTGAAGGTCCCGGGTTCGATTCCACCCGGTGGCAAATCTTTTTTGCTTTTTTCTGGGAGTCATTTTAGGTGTATAGGATGTATCCCAGGGATATTGGGGGTCAGTTAAAGCGTTCTGGATCAAAAATTTCAGATTTCAGGGGGCAAAATCGGTTTCATTTCTTAAAACGGTCAATCGGGAATAGTTAACAATGAGAAACGGGGGATGATGGGTGGAAACAGGGCAATAAGTACATTATGTTTTTCAAAAAATTCGCAAAAGAGCGCATTTGCATTATGAGAGGAGAAGTGAAGAGGGGTGATGGGGGAGGTAGGAGTAAAGCTCTAGATTTTTGTAAAATTAAGAGAAAATGTCCGGAAGAAAATGAAAAAACAGAAAGGAAAAAACAAACAAGAATATGATTAATACAGGAAAAAAAATGGTAAAATTGAGAGCGAAAAACAGAAAATTTAGGCGAAAACTACCGGAAAAAACGGAAAAAAACGAGTTTTAGGTAAAAAAAAACGGTGAGAAAGCAGAAAAAAAAAATTTTTTACAATTTATGAGCCATATTTTCGGTGCTCGACGAGTTTGATTCGGGTGTTGGCGGCATTTGAAGCGGTTGTTGTGGTGGCTCCTCGTCGGTGGTGGCCAGCGGGGAGCGAAGGATGTGGGTGAGGAAGTCGGTGAGGGAGATCACGCCGATGGCCTGGAAAATGTGAAATTTGATTTTGGATTGAGAAGAGCTTCAAAATGAGTATAATTATGACTGGAGTTTGAAGTTTTTGAAAATTTAAGTCCCGTCACGAAAACACCAATTCTACCGTATCTCGATCAGTTTTGCTCCGATTCGAATGAAAACGGTACCATTAGAGCCGGCGGGTCAAGACGGTTAGAATGAGTATAATCGAGGCTAGGTTCTGCACATTTCGAATTTTTGGGTCCCGCCACGAAAACTTCATTTTTGGAATTTTGGGTTCAATATTCAAAATTTTGCGTTCAAAATAGGATTTTCATGATCAGCTTGTTAAGACGGTTCGAATGAGTATAATCATGACTAGGTTCTGTAAAATTCGAATTTTTGAAAATTTGGGTCTCGCCACGAAAATACCGAATCCACCGTAACTCAGCCCTTTTTTGTTCGGGAGCTATGAAAATAGGATATTCGTGATCAGCTCATCAAGGCGATTCGAATGAGTATAATCATGACTGGGTTTCGAGAAAATTGAAAAAAAAGGGTCTCGCCACGAAAACCTATTTTCCAGAATTTTGGGCCCAATTTTTAGTTTTTTTCGATGAAAATAGCATATCCATGATCAACTCATCAAGACGGTTCGAATGAGTATAATCATGACTAGGTTCTGACAATTGTGAAAATTTGTTTCCCGCCACGAAATCCTAATTTTTTTTTCTGGAATTTAGGCTCAGTTTTCAGTTTTTCTACGATGAAATTAGGATATTCATGATCAGCTCATTAAGACGGCCCGCATGAGTATAATCATGACTGGGTTTTGAAATTTTTGAATTTTAGAAAAATTGGGTCCCGCCACAAAAACTGAGTTTTTTTCTGAAATTTAGGGCCCAGTTTTCGGTTTTTTTTAATGAAATGAAGATATTCGTGATCAACTTGTCAAGGCGGTTCAAATGAGTATAATCATGGCTAGGTTCCGATACCTTTGGGTCTCGCCGCAAAAATAAAATCTTACTGTAGCAATTTTTTTCGCGGCGAGACCCAAAGTAATTAAAACCTAGTCATGATTATACTCATTTCGAAGCTCTCAATCCAGCAAATTCGAATTTTCACACCATTTACCTTTCCATTATGAATAGCAAACGCGCTCTGCGTATCCGATTGCAAGAGAGTGTCGAGGACCTGCCCGACACTATCGGCGGAGCTAATGAACAGTTCACTGTGACAAATGTGCAACATATCGGCTACCGTAGTCTCCAGAAGCCATCGTTTCGGTTGCTCGAAGTTGCGGGGAAGTGCTTTGCAAATGTCGGTTTTTGTGATCACACCGATGACCTGGAAGATGGGAAATTGAAAATTCTGTCTGTTTGTCTGGGAGTCCGGATGTCCCCTATTCAAAAACCATGTCAAAAACTCAATTTTGAAGGGAGTTATGCGCCTTTGAAGTTTGAAGGTGAGACGCAGACAGCGAGACAGTCTTTTTCTCTGGCGTCTCTCACTCTCGCTCCCCAGGGGCGTAACTCCCTTCAAAATGGAGCTTTCGAGCTGGTTTTTGGACCATTTTGTAGGGTTTTTTGGCGGTTTTTCGATTTTTCAGCTCAAAAATTTATTTTTGACCTAAAAACCCGTTTTTTGACCTGATTTCGGCCATTTTCAGATCGAAATCTGCTGAAAATTCAAATTTTGGTGCCAAGAATTAGTAGAGAACTGGAAATTTAGTGCTAGAAAATCGAAAAATCTCGAATTTCGGTTCAAAATCTGTCTGTCTGTCTGTCTATCTATCTGTCTGTCTGTCTATCTGCCTATCTGTCTATTTGTCTGTCTGTCTGTCTGTCTGTCCGGATGTCTGTCTGTCCGTCTGTCTGTCTGTCCGGATGTCTGTTTATCTGTCTATCTTTCTGTCTGACTATCTGTCTGTACATCTATCTGTCTGTCTGTCTGTATATCTGTCTATCTGTCTGTCTATCGATCTGTCTGTCTGTTTAGCTGTCTATCTGTCTGTCTGTCCGGATGTCTGTCTGTCCTTCCTCATATCCAGATGTCCACCCCACAAAAACTCACATTCTGCTTCTCATCGACCACCGGCAACGCGGAATAATGGAATCCCAGCATGTCCTCCATGGCCCTGTAGACCGTCTCCGTCTTCGCCACC